AAAACACCTGGGCATACACCTGAAGCCTATTGATGACCTTTCTGCTAGTTGTTGGGCTAACAATTCAGCAAAGAATGTTGCTATTTTGAAAATAAAACTGTAGCCTTGCCACAAGACTTCAAAACCCACCTCAGGAATGGGTACTCCTCTGTTTATCCCAAATAAACAAATCAAAGGGCTCTTGGGGCCAGCTCATTCATGTTATGGCTTAAGTTTGTATCGATTTCTCGGACTTGTTGAATATAGGTACAATTGAATTCGGTTTATGTGAACTTTTAAGACTTTTGGAATAAATTCTCTCTTATGTTGGGCAGTCGTGTAATAAAAAAAACTTGTGCATTCGTCGTGATGAGAATTGGGAAAAATGGTTGTGTGGGGCTGGAGGTAGGACGGGCAGAGGCCATTAGGCAGACAGTGTCCTTTTTGTTGGTGTGTGTGTGTGTGTGTGTGTGTACGTAGTTACCAAACACATGAGAGATAAAATCAATGGAAAAGTAAACAAATGGCAAGTCACGAAAGGAACTCTTCTCTTTTCATAATAACAATTCGCTGGTTCCTGATGTACTAAGCCAATAACTACATAAGGCACATATGGAAAAATCAGTGTGTACACCCCTGAATGTTGGAAATATGTCAAGTCGAACGTACAGTTTTGGTCTCAGTCCGCATTTTTGTCAACAAGATAAACACATAACGGTTAAAACGATGAGATAGTTGTTCGAGAGAAAATGGGGAATATATACAACGGCCTAATATGTGACTAACACAGTCTATATAATGTAAGATTTTACGCCACTAAACACAACCGACTGGGAGAAATTACGCCTTTAGTTACTGGCGTAAAATCTTATATATACATCACCGACTGGAAGAAATTACACCGTTAGTTACTGGCGTAAAAAGTAAATGGCGGGAGTGTTTATTCCTTTTTTTCTAATATGTTTTAGCGAGGCCACCTTAGTAAGTAGTGTGACAAATTTTTTAGTTAAGCTTGAAAAGTGGCAAGGTATGAACAGCTTCTACTGGCATTTTGTTTGTAGCAACTTTCTCTCTGTAGAGTGGTATATGTGCTCCTACCATAAACTAAAAAAATTATAATTTATTACAGTCTAGTTTGAATTCGAATGTCTTGTCTTGCTTTTTTTATGTGCGCGTACGTGTGTTAGGATGTGTTATCGTTCCAGCTCGCAATTTCAAGACTAGTCATTTCCCACATTATCCCTTGCCATGTGAATTTAGACAGAATGCACTATCAGACATTTCACATCTAAAACACTCTTTATTTCGAAATTTTAAGATTTTGGATAGTGCCGTGAAAGTGGTAATGAGTATCACCCACGTCACTGCCCCTTTTGTATTCTTTTGCTCGGCCGACGGCTCCACAGTTGTAATATTTTTCTGCAAGGAAATAAAGACTTTTGTAATAACAGTAGCAGTAAAAACCACGTGACCCTTCAAAATTACATAGTCTCTACGGCTAAATAACAGTTGTGTCTTTTGCAACGAAATTAGAATGGATTGCCATTTCATTAGGAGAGAGTCACTCGTATCTCTATGTGGCCATGTAATATTCCCTTTTCATTAGACAAATAGCAGTGAAGTACTAGAAGACCTTCCGCAAAAATGAGACATGTGTAACATGTTATTTTGACATGTGAAAGCAATTCGTACGCAAATGAAATTTGTCGGTGTCTCCCTTGTGTTTTTCATTTATGTTTGTCCATTTGTATGTAATTAATTTTAATTTAGGGAAAAACATTATTTCCTTCGATCACTTCTCGCACTGCTGAGACATATTCAATACCCAGAGGGATATTGCGTATTTTAACGCGCCATGCTATATCGTGTACTTTAGATTTAAAAAATAGACGAATTATACTTGGGAAAACCAAATTAAACGGTTTAAAATGTATCCAACGGTAAGCTCTTGTCCGCTTTTGTGCGGCCAATTTACTTGATCAAATCTTTTGGTCTCCCGAAAGTATTTGCTCTACGTTAGTGGAGGGGTGCAAAGGGGTGCAAGCGCTCGGGAGAACAGGGGACTGGAGACGGCAGGAAGTGGAAGCAGAAATGGAAAACGCAACCTTTGAAAAGCCGAACATAGCAAAGTTTTTAGACTTCCATTTAATGCCCACCCAGAAAGAAAATTTCCTATTCGTTTCTTTATTACGTCAAAGGTCATAGATGAGATGTCATGAAAAATCGACGAATTTGTCGGTGTCTTGCAAGCTGTATCAGTAGAAAATTGTCCAAAGCGAGTCAGGTCAAATGTCAAATGTCAAATGTCTTGATGTGTTTATCAGCCTCATTATTTAAGGCGTTGCAACGGAAAATCAGTCCGTATAGGACCTTGTTTCTGTAATTGACAATCACACTACTAAATTATAGCGGTGTAGAAATCAATGAATGTATGTACAACGATTCAACCTTTTCGCAGAGGTTTAAAGAATATTTCAACTTCTCGAAGAAATCTCAATTATATGACGTGATAACCTGCCAGACAGACAGTAATGTACAATAATGCTCTACCAGAGCTGAAAATAAACGCTCAAAATGCAAACAGTTTGGTAGTTAGATAACGGCGTAATATGTGACTAACACAGTCTATAGACTGTACGATTTTACGCCACTATCTGCGTCGGTGTACATATGTAAGATTTTAAGCCCGTTAACTAGCGGCGTAAAATCTTACAGAATAAAACATACCGACTGGAAGAAATTACGCCGTTAGTTAGTGGCGTAAAATCTTACATATAAGCGTAATTTCTTCCAGTCGGTGATGTATATATGTAAGATTTTACGCCAGTAACTAAAGGCGTAATTTCTTCCAGTCGGTGATGTATGCATGTAAGATTTTATACCAGTAACTAACGGCGAAATTTCTTCCAGTCGGCGTATATATAATGTAAATTGTACGCCAGTAATATAATTAATTAGATAATAATTTATTATAATAAATCTACCGACTGAGATAGTGGCGTAAAATCTTACAGTAGATATACTGTGTTTCTTTCCGCGTTAATACTCTTCTTTCCTTTTGTAAGAATGTAGACATCACTTACAATGTTTCAAGCAATCCACCCACCCCCAAAAAAATAACTCATGCATGCATAGCATGCCTATGTTTTTATAAGGTCTCCAATAGAAAGAAAAATGGGGGGGGGGGGGGGGGGTGGGGGGGGGAGATGAGACTGTTTTGTCACAGATGAGTGATCAGGTTGTTTGGAGAGATTTAAAATGGTGGCATATAACACATTTGGGGAAACTTTTTCAAATGTTACTAGTCTAATCTTTGGGTTTTCAAAAGCTGGTTTGTGTCTTAACAATAATGGTAATAATTGGACAATTTTTTGTTCACTATTTCATTGAATAAAAGGTTTGCTGAAGCACAATCCTTCCCTTAAATGTAACCAAGTTTCATCAATGAATAAATATGCAGTAAAACCATTAATATCATTCTACAGTAAACCTCTAGACTTGCATTACCAGAATTTTTTTCTTTCTTCCTCCCACTTCCTTTTTTAGGTTGTTCCTTTCCCTGTTCTGGAACATCTGTTTAAAAACATAGATGAAGCAGTTTAATCACTTTTCAAAAATTTCGTACGTCTTCTGTAGCAACTTCTTGCTGAAGAAAGAAAAGGAATAAAACTAAAAATTCTTGCTTGAACCATCATATTGCTCATTTCATTAGTGGTATGATCTCAGTTCCCAATTTAAATGTGCTGGTATTTGATCCTATCTCTCAGAAATCCTTACCAATCAACATCAAAACCAGTATAGGCATGAACCCTAAATTTAATTAGTTAATGAATCCTAACAACTTAAATTTTTTAATTCTCATTAAACTTTGGGTTAGGGTTAGAAAATGAAATAAATTATAAGCAATTTATTATTCAACTGCAAAAAGAAGTGTACAAATAATACATGAATAGAGTACAAATATCATGCAATATTGTACAGTTGGTTATTTTGTACTGTAAAAACCCTGTTTAACTGTGCGTGCCAAGCATCTTTATCTACTTTTCTTTGCAGTTGGATAATAAATAACTTATTGGTAGTTCTGGTGTGTAGTATTGCTTAGTATTTTTCCTTGCTGTTTGTATTTTGACTTTCCCTACTGGCACATCCAAATACGACACAACTAGTAAAAATGCTCAGCAATACTACACACCAAAATGTCTAATAACATGTATACATATACACATATATTCCCTCCAATTGACAAAAAAAAAACTGCCCAGATGTTGGTTCATAGTCATTAATTGTTTGTTCACAGAAGCAAACAGATTTCCCAGAGCAAAGCTTCAGAGTTCTCATCAAGTGTCAGTAACTGACAAGAAAATTTGCCACCTCAATTTTTGAGCTGCCTATTTTTAAAAAAAAAAAATGTGTGCAAGTTATGAGCAATTTTTGTAGCAGTCAGACATTTTAAATTTTAATTACAGTTAAAACTGTAATTAAAATTAAAAATGTCTGACTGCTACAAAAAATTTCGAGAAAGATAATTTTCTTACCAGCCATTTTCACATTTCCACGAAACAACAAAAATTTATGCTTTTATGTTTTTTGCTGCCTGGTTAAGCACTCTTGCAAAGTCTACCTAGCACACCTTAACCTAGCCAACCACCCACCATATCGCTTTATACACACATGTACTTCCAAAAGACTGCATAAAATGGCATTTTAGAGTCTCTTACTTTCAAAACTAATATTTCATGGGGGAGTATGCCCGAGAACCCCAGCAGGAGTTCTCAAATAATCAGTAGTCTACTCCTGATGCAGCTAGCCATATACTCCTGACTTATTGAAAACCCTGAAACATATGCATGTGTTGTGGGTCAAAAATTTCCCAGATTCATTTAATTTTTACTTTTAGTTGTCTTTGTTAAAGTTTGACTTTTGAAAGAAACAAGGAAAAGAGTCAGACTGTTTTAAAACCTTTCTGTGAAATTAAAAAAACTGGGAACACCCACATATTTCTAGAACATGATTGTGTCATGATATACAATCCAAGGAGGCATAAGGATTTTTGAACTGTACACAGTAAGGCCAACTAGTTTGTGGTTTTGTTCTTTGCTTCCATGTCCCTATTTCCCCCTGTAATTGGTTGAAATACAATATTATGAATAACCATTCTAGATACATTTCAGGTATTCATGGTTTCCTGACTTTGACAGAATAACCACAGTATGAAAAGGTATATAGAGAAACTGGGCCAGTCATTTACACAAAGTCTAACCCAAACCACAGTCTTATGCAATCAGTAAGACTTCACGGTAAGGTTCACCTAAATTGAGGATTTTTTAGGATGTAGCTTTGTTAAACAATGGCTAGACTTTGTTGAAGTAATCAACCTTGGGCCTATTGTTTCCATATCTGAGTTTGATATTAATGGTATCTACTCAAAAATTCTGCTTTTAATCATATGCAAAAGGAGCAACTAACAGACCTGTTTAGATCAAGCCCTAGCTATCAAAATCAAAAATGAGATAATATTAACCTTCCAACTGGTTTCTGTCATCAGAACTATCCTCCTCACTAGAGTCATATCCCAGATCTGGATTAGAGAGATCTTCACTCATATTTAGTTCATTTTCATGCTCATTATCAGCTTGTGCTGTCTGCAAAGTACCTGCATCAAAACATTTGTAAAGGAAAGTTTTTCCTCAGCACATTTTAATACTTGCTGATATTTATGAAGGACACTATAATTCTTTGCCACAGTCAGCACCTTATTATTTCAAGCAAGACAAGAATAATGGATAAAACTTTGGATCATGAGTATATATAGGTTGGGTATCAGTCTATACTTTCCATCGACATGTCAACTGAGTGTGAGTCGATATATCAGGCAACAATCGGCCAAGTACTGGCTGATGTGTTGATCAACATCAGTTACCTCTCAACCATCACATGTCAGTTGATACTCTGTTGATATGCAGCTGATACTTCACCGACACCTGGCTGATACTTTACAGATACTTGGCCAACACCACTGTCACTTGGTTGGCTCTTGTTACTGAGTCCTATCTCCTATACTCAGATGTGCTATATGATGATTTAGTTATAATTAACAGATGGTAATATGACTAATACAGACCTTGAACAGATGTGTACTGATCTGCTAAGTGCTTTTGAGTACCTTCTTTTCTTGCTTCCTCTCTGTGACTTGATCTAACTGATTCCCCTGGTGGCTGCTCTCCTCCTTCTTTCCCCAATGACTGATGTTCTCCCCCTTCTGCCTCTCTTTCATCTGGTTTTCAGTGCACAAAAGGAGTAAAAAACAGGTTTTACAGGCATGAAGGTGACCTGACCAAACCCTTCCTTCCTCCTATTGAGTTTCATTTTTCTAACTGAATGCCTTGAACAGGCTAACCCAGTCAATACTGATAACAAAACAGAGTTACTGTTAAATATGGAAGACATGACCATGCAGTACTCTCTAGAGTAGATGGTGGGCTGGATCCCTGGTGGAGAGGTCAGAGCTCAAGTTCTGAGTAGTGCATGTCACTCTATTGTGTTTGTAAGACAACAAAATTTATTGAGCCCAACATTACGTCTCTATCAAGTCCAAGGAGTACCAAGTTGGAAAGTAAATTGTCACAAAAACCCAATAAAATTCAAAGAGAATAACCATGAAGGACTAAAATCAAAAGTAATAAGTCAGGGGTAACCAATTTAAACTTCCATAGATAATGAACACTCAAGTTAACCGTATTTTTTCAGAAAACAAGTAAAGCGAGGTACTGCAATGTTCATAATCGGTAAAATCCAGGAAAAGTCCAAGCATGAGCTGAAAGGAAAAATTCCCACCTGTAAGTAAAACAATCATCTGATGCCGGTAACGTTCAAGACTTAAAAGAATTGACTTACAAATACATGTACACGTACGCTTAACCAGCCAAAAGTTACCAACCTGAAGGTAACCGTGACCTATCAATCTGTGAAAACAGTACCAAAGAAATCTGCTCGTTGTCGCCAAGAGTAATGGCAACCACAGCTTTGGTCTTGCCGTCTTTGCCTGTGATGACAACTGGAGCTCCAAGGCCTCTTCGATTATGGCTGTAGATGCTAGCACCTTCTATCTTCATGGAATTAGGGTCAACGTGATATGCTTCTTCGTCTGCGATCCCAATCAGCTGGTATGGTCTTATGGCCCATTGATTTCCGGATTCCTCAACAACGTGACAGTATAATTTAGAATTTCTTAAACCTTCCTTTCCTTCAGCGCATATGGTAAATGGACGGTGAGTCAGTATACCGGAATAACGTTTTCGAAAAAAGTTAAATTTAGTTCAGTCAACAGGTACAAATGCGAGGCCATGGAATCTGTGGACCGGTTCCTTGCATATACTAAGTAGCCCCCTTCCTTTTTTCGTTTCTGCCATTTAGCTTCTTGAACCATAAAAAGAAGCAACTTAAATCACGGGATGGAAAAACCTTTTCGCTTGTGATCGAATGTACTTTTTGATCACAATTCTTAAAGAACCCCTCCACGAGGCTTCCAATACCAACGAAGCTGTCACCGTTCCTAGTCCGTTTCTCGATCGCGCAAGTAGCTAAGATGCGCTGCATCTCCCTTCTTTCCCTCTCTGTCCTCGTTGCATGTACTGGCAACATTAGATTCGTACGGTTAAAGTCTCCACTTGAATCTGCCATGTTCCCTTCCCAAATCACGAGGATACACTCAGTTTCACCGCTATACTAAACTTTATAGTAGTCTTCAACAACCATGAACGCCACAACCCGGAAGCGCTTGAGCCCTCGTTTTAGTAATCAGCGGTCAAAAGTAAGGTAAGAGAGCGCTTCATATCTGGTGAACAGAATGTATTGAGAATGATAACACAACAGAACCCAACTGACTCAAACTCTCGAGGGAAACCAGTAACGGTTCGACCTAGACGGGGTTCAAGTCAGCTGATAGTAACTAAGTAGAATGCTGGGGTGAAAGAAAACGGAATTTTGCTCAAGTTGCCGGGGAGTTCTGAGTAATGTGAGTTCAAGATAACGTAGTTCCACTGTTTATCTGTAAAGACCTTTTGGGTAGTTCAGGCAAGGAACTCATGTCATAGGTATACAAAGACTTTTACGAGTGTAATGAGTTATCTATGGATATGCAAAGGTCTTCATGAGTATGCAGGGGGTGTCTGTGGGTGTACTTCAGTATTTATGGTTAAACAAGGGTTTTTAACCCTTTAACTCCCAAGATCTGATTGTTAATTCTCCCCTCCACCTGCTACACATTTCCTTGTAAAAAAGTTATGAGAATTTGGTGCAAGATCAAGGCAAAAAATTCTACCTGATAAGTTTGGACATTCTCATCACGTTTGCAGATAAATGCACAGATATTTTAGGGAGAAGTTGCATGTTAATCAATTTTGGAAGTTAAGGGATTCAGAGTTTACAGAGGGTATTTAGTCATAGAGTGCACTTTATTACCAAATAAATGTGAATATTATGGGATATATGGATGCCTCCACAATACCTTGACATGAATTATAAACCCTTCTCCACCAGTGAATGCCCCAGTATAGTTTGCCTCCACTAGGGTGGAGAGGAAGGAAGAGAGTACTCAGGAGAGGATCATAAGAGATAAAGGTTTATAACAAGGTCCTCAGAGCAATCTTTATTCAGAACTTATTTGCCTGAGGCATTTGCATTTTGTTTTATCAGAAAACTGCTGTTTCTTAAAGAAACTATAAATCCAAGCTTCAAAATAGTACAAGTATATTTTATACTGAAATGCTACTGAGCCCAAATGAATGACTATAAAGTATACTATTTGCAGAGCAATAAGGTTGCCTTAACATTCATTCTTGTAATTTAATTTTGAAGTTTTCATTCAGTTGAGAAAGGGACAAGACACCATTCATGTGAAATTAGAGTTAAGCTTTAGACCACTTTCCATTGATAAAAACATCAGACTAACAAGATTGTAAGAAAAATCTCAAACTGTATGCAGATTCCACATCTCATTCATGACCTGAGATGATAAATTGTGGAAGGATTACCCAAAATTTAAGACATCAAACTTGGATAATCCCAATTACAATTTCTTACCAATGAAGTGTGAGAGCTGAACTGGTCGAATGTTGTGGAATTACGGCCAAGGTTAGCGGGGTCCATACAAAAATGATTGATGGCTAATTTTTCAGCAGTAGGCCCTGGGAAAGCAAGGTTAGCAAGTAGCTTATCACAGTGTATCTGATTTACCTCAGAGCCGGGTTATACACATATCAGAACTGAACGTCATAAACGCTGTTTTGTAAACAGATGCTTCTTCAATTTTATCTTATTGATATTCATACATTCGTAAATAGTTTGTAATTAGCTTTTTATAGCAGTTAGTTATATGAAATTGTAAGTCCAGACATGACTCTGAGCATGTTCCCTTTGATATTTACTACTATTCAAAATAGGGTAAAATGTTAATCTAGGATTAAAAGTTAACTTTGGTTTTAATTTCTTGTGTAGAGGATTGCCATAAGAGTTAGGCTTTTGTTGGGTTTTATCTCAATATGACTAAAAAATAATGAGAGAAAATGCAAACGAAAAATCCCTTTGCAGTGCTATATGATCACATGTTATAAAAGTAGTAACTGCATAGCTGGATTCATTCATAAAAGCCAGAACAGCATGAAAAAGGCGTATGAAGCGGGTAAGTTTCTGTGGTGCTGCATCAGTGGGGACTGTTTGATGTTTCCACGTTATGCAAATAATGGCACTGAGTAATGTTTAATGGTTGAATGTAGGACTCAAATTCAAAGTCAAAGTAAATAGATTATAGGAAAAAGCCGAAAATTGATCTTCCTTGGTTTCAGAGAAACTTTCCTACGAAAAGTACATTCGGTGTACGCTGTTAAGGACTGAAAGACTACCTTACAGGCGATGTACAGGCGCGATTAACTCTTTTCCTCAAATTCTCTAAATCATTATGAGGCAATCTTAAATGTTGCTGCACTTAATCCTTGCGACTATGCTATAGATTATCTAATGGTGTCTATGTCCAAAATTCCCAATTCCAATTTAATGGACTACACTTAACAAGCCTGGCTTGTTAATAGGTTTTATAGGTTTTTGCTTGCGAAATGAACAAAAACCTATCATTGAGAGTGCGTTCCTTCGGGATGATCCGCATTAGGTTTTCTGACCAGTAGCGTTCCTCTTCCACGGCGAGTGTCATTGCTTTGGTCATTGTTTTGGGGTAACTTGGGTTTGTCTCGGCAAGAATTTTCTGTTGTGCGTCGTTGCCCATTTTCAAGTTTCTTGAGATAGTCAGTCAAGCCGACATTTGTAGCTATTTTACCTTTTCGAACCTTTCTTACATGGATAGCTGCGCTTGCCAAAGCAAGCGGCTAGTAGTCCAAAGACCGTGCAATTTCTTTTCCCGTCTCGTCATTAGTGACACCAGAAAGGAGCCTTAAAAAAGAGCTGGCATGATTAGGAAGCATCCCTTCGCTTAGTGATATGTGCTGAATGGAGGAGCTTGTCAAAGGAATAGACGTGAGGCCCTGTGTTTTGTTGGTTTCCTGGACCTGGCAGATAAGTATGTACACGAGACAAACTGGTGACATTATCACCTAACAGCAACCACGACGTGTGAAGCCCAATTTTTGCGCTTATTACTGAGCGTCGTGAGACTCGCAATTTTCTCGTCTGTGCTCAGATCTTTGGAATTATGAGTGTCTGTAACTATATAATTTGGACGTCTGCAATGCCGAGCGAAAGAGGCAAGCGATTCCAAAAGTGTTTCTGAATTTTCTGCATTAAGCGTCCTGAGAAATGGAATCGAAGAGGGAATTTCTTTGCCTTCGTCGAGGAGTCGCTTAGCTGTTAGACGAGCCAGCTGAGATTCTACACTTCCAGGATTTCCAGATAAATACAAGGTGCTTCAGCTGTTATTGTTGGCACTTTTGAGTGCTTTGGGGTGGTGTGATTTTACCAACTCCAGATCCGCGAGGGGAGACGTCATGTGTAGGTTCAGGAGGGCGAATACACAACGGGGAGACTTCGGTATACAAATGTTCTTCTTCTTTTTCTTCGAGTTTCGTTTCTTTCTCTTGGAATTGTTGTCATAAGGTGTCAGTTTCCTTCGGAACATTTCCTGACTCTTCCGTTAGGAGAATTGTCTTATCTGCAATTTCACGGATATTTAGAGTGGGAAGACCGAGTGCGTGAAATGCAGTACTTATATCTAAAATTGCCTTTTCAAAATCTACGCTAGAAAGGTAGCCTCGTGGAATATGCGAAAAACCTTCATTACGAAATCTTCTGAGACCATCCACATTTGATCGAACAACTGGATTGAGACTGTAGATGCAATCGGAAAAAAGGATGGCATAAAACAGCATGGTACAATCCCAGTCAGCTCTGTTTCCATCTTTTATAATTGTCAAGAGACGGGCGTGCCTTCTTCTACTTTGAAGCGATTCTCCGTTCCAAAAGTCCATTCCATTTTTCAGTTCATCTTTCCATTCTCCCAGGGTTGCCTTGTAGCGATTGTCCCATTCTCGTTTAAAGATTTCCCGCAGGCCTTCAGTTAGTTCATTAATGACAATCAAACAAACCTTGAGGTAGTTGAGTTGCTCTTCGTTGTACTTCAAAGAAGAAGCCATTGATTTGCACCTTGATACTGTGAGAAAAAAAATATACTATTTTCAACCAACGGAAAAAAAGGATCAAAATAAACAGCATTTCAATGAGCCTATTATGGTATTTAAATACTTCTACGTTTCAATTAATTTTTTGACAAACTCCTGGTCGATTAACAACCATACTGATGATTCCTGAAAATTGAGAATGACGCTTCTACTTGAGTTGAGATGAAACAAGTTAAGCCAATGTTCTTCCTATAGGCAATCCAAACTGATATTCCACAATTCTTTCCATTCATTCCCTTCTTTAGCATTTCCGATTCTGTGGACGATCGAAATGCGCTAAAGTCGCCTAAAACTTTGGTAAACTTGCCGTTTAAACGATCGCAAAATAGAATCGGGTCAGTCTTGTCTTGTAAACGAAGCATCACCTCCTAAAAATTCAAATAAGTTTTTGCCATATTTCCCAGATATTTTTTTCTGTATTCTTTACGGTCTGTGTAGTAAGCTTCTAAATTGCCGGTCATCAGAATGATTGTAATAATAGAAGGAGCCCTGACCATCGTTATCTTTGCATAGTAAATCAGATTTACGCTTCTCCCTCTCACTTGTGTCATCTCCAGCTCTAAGCTTTTTGCTTATATTGTTGCTAAATCCTGGATCTAGACTACTCCCACTTGTAATAAATTTTTGGGAAAAAAGTAATTTAGAAAAATAATCTGACATGATATATTTTGTTTCTTTAGATAAATCCCCTTCACTTTAGTTATAATCAACAAATTGAAAATTCCAAATGCAGACCTTGAGCAGATGAGTACTGATCCACTGAGTGTTTTAGAGTGTTTTCTTTTCTTGCATCTTCCCTGTAACTTGATGTGAAGGAGGCACAATCTGCAAGAAAAAAAATCATTGCTTGACAAAGAGAGTCCTTTCCCTCTCAATGTTAATGAATGGTACCTGGAATAATAAAGAATTCCACCCTGCTGGCAAAATTATTTTTTAAAGGAAACCTTGTGGTCAAGATACGCAAAGATTACGCATTATAGTAAGTCCTTCTCTTTCTTTTTCTGAAAGTCAGAAAACACACATCGCTACCTCTGTATCTCTACCTTCTTCTGAATATTTTTCATTTCGAGCAGCTCCTTATAATCATCGTAGCGCTGCAAGAGGCGCGTTTCTCCGCCCCTGGGAAGATCTGAGACGAATATGGGTGAGGTTTGCCGGGGATCTGGCACTAATTATGAGTGCTACCTCTCACCGACTCGTGTTCCTCAAGGACAGGCTTCGTATTTTCCCACAGACGAAGAAACGCTCGGGCCGCAGCGCCAATAACGAGGGCTGCTCGCAGGTTATTCAACTCTTACAAGGCACGAATTCCGGTTTTTCTGCTTAGCCTATGGCTTCGGCTGACTCAAACGTTGACAATTTGTCAGATGCAAACATTGATTCTCATATTGAGGATGCACTTCTAAAGTCATCCAGTATTCATTTAATTAGTATGTTCATGTATTTACGGATATATTTTTGTACCAATTTTGTATCAACTTTGAGACGTATTAAATTTAAAATCAACATTTTGTCTAGTTTATCAAGTTTATAGTGGTTTCAATGCAGTGTTTCTTTGTGCAGTGCATTCAATTTGAATGATAAAAATGTCCACGTACTCATAGCTCGTGAATTATCGGGATTTGCCTGTACTCTTTCACAAACAATGAACTCAAAATTTTCAATACCGCACTCGGCAAATTTCTGGCTCATTGTTTGTGAACTCGTGCAGATAAATCTCGATAATTCACTCGCTGAGTGCGTTAGCTTGCAAATAACTTTGACTTATTTAAGGCGAGCAAAGTTAGAGTGGAATAAAGTGTTACCGATGAGGAGTAATTGTTTCTATCAGAAACAACTTAAGATAATGGTGAAGTAAGCTTTTAAATTGCCAGTCATCAGAATGATTATAGGGAAACCCGTACCACTGTCATCTTTGTTTACTGAATCAGATTTACGCTTCTCCCTCGTATTTTTATGATCTCCAGCTCCATCCTCTCTGCTTCCATCATTGCTACATCCTAAATCCCGACTAGTCCCAGGGGAAGAAAATGACGAGTTTTCACCACTGCCACCAAAGGACGGACCTATCAAACAATAACAGATGATTCTGGTCAATTAACAATTGGTTCATACGTTCGCGTGCGTTCATCGAGATATGAAGCACTTAGGAAGTTTGGAGAGCACTCAAGAAGCTAGAGTTGCTCTCGGCTACGCCTCGAGCAACTCTTACGCATCTTTCGTGCTCTCCAAACTTCCCGCGTGCTTCATATTGTGGTGTTTACGGTTTAATAACCACTGAGACGTTCGGTAGAAACACAACGATATTTAATCAACCTGTGAGACGAAACCCGACTACAGAATAGCTTCTCTTCATAAGGACCGCGTGTGCATTCCGAACATTATGATTGGCAGCTGTCAGAAACACTACATCTCTCCCCTTCTTGATTGTAAACTTGAATACATGTATGTCTGGAAAAGATCGACTTAAGCAACTGAACTCTAATGATTAAGAACGATAAACTGGAACGTGTTTAGCTTGTCACAAAGTTCAACTGCAAGCTTCGAGTGTCTGGTTCTATTGCACAAGTAGGACAAAGTCTTTCAGTTTTGCAGGGAGCCTTGTTTGCCTCTGAGATCGCCGCAAGGGTGTAATTGGGCTTGGAGAACTTGATGACTTGTCTTGTTCTGAAACTTCTGGTGGCCAAGGCTCTGCTGTTAGATCTTCGTCTGCCTGCCCTTGTGTTATCTTTTCAGCATGCCTTATGTGGTTCGGGACAACTTTGAACATGGATGAGTTCCGCGTGATAGTTTTATTCCCATTGCTTGCTGTAACCATAGATCCTTTCTTTTCTTCAACCACGAGAGGTACTGGACTGAACGGGGAGCTTAGCTTGTTGCGCTTTGGTTGCTTAATAAGGACTGTGTCTCCTAGCTTGATCTTGCTCTCTCTCACTCCTAACTTATGGTCTGCATATGCTTTCATCTTCAACTTCTGTTCTGCATCCCTATCTGTCATGCTCTTCTGTTTCTCAAGAACTGGTGGTGTCACTTCTGGTAGCGTAGTCTTGAGCTTCCTGTGATTAAGTGCTTCGCACGGCGAAATTTCAGTGGTCGAATGAGGTGTCGCCCGATACTGTCGTAGAAACTTGTAGAGTTCTTGTTTCCAGCTCTTGTGCTCAACGGTAGCGGCTCTCACGCACTTCCCTAGTGTCTTCATGAAACGTTCCGCTTCGCCATTAGCTCTTGGCCAGAGAGGCGTGATTTTGCGGTGGTGAAAACCCAGATGCTCAGCAAAGTTCTTGAACTCCGCGCCATTGAAGGGGGGTCCGTTGTCACTCTTTAAGACATCAGGAATTCCTTGTCGAGCGAAGATTGAGTCAAGCTTCGGGATGGTGGATCTAGCAGAAGTGGATGTGACGATTTCAACTTCTGGGAAACGGCTGTACTCGTCTATGACGACCATGAGGTACTCTCCTGAAGGGAGTGGTCCAAGAAAGTCCATCGCAAGTTCTTTCCAGGGGGCGTTTGGTAGCGGTGTCATCTTTAGAGGTTCGAGTCGTTCTGCCTTACTAGTAGTTGTTGCTTGGCATGGTAAACAGCTGTCGACTTTTTCCTTAACCATCTTGTCTACACCAGGAAACCACACTTTCTCTCTGATGAGGCGTTTTGTTTTTACCATTCCTTGGTGTCCAACGTGTGCTAGGTCTACAGCTCTGCCTCTCAGTATTTTTGGGACTACAATCCTGTTTCCTCTCAGTACAATTCCTTGGTAGGCCGACAGTTCGTCCTTCACATTTCTGTACTCCTGTACTTCGGGATGTGTCCAATTGTCAGTCTCGATGGCCTTGATAAGTGCTTGGAGCGAAACGTCCTTCTCCGACTCTAACTTGATTTCTTGCAGCGTCATTGCTTTTGGCACTGCCTGGTTGCATACAGAGTTCACGTAGTCTTCTGCAATGCTGCTCTCCTTGCTTTCTATGTTACTTGGATGGCGGCTCATAAAATCGGCTGGATTCTCTGCGTCCTTGCCAGGTCGATAGGTGAGTTGGCAGTTGTAAGGCATGAGCCTCAGCTTCCATCTGTCGATGCGCGCTGACGTTGGCTTGTGACTGTTAAAGATATCTAGGAGTGGTTTGTGGTCTGTGGCAATGGTGAACTCTGATCCATACAAATAAAGATGAAAATGTTCGACTGCCCAGACTACTCCTGGCATCTCCCTCTCCGTTTGAGAGTATCTGCTCTCGACGTCACTGAGTGCTCGGCTAGCGTAACTGATAACTTTACCATCCTGTACCAACAATCCTCCAAGTCCGACAGGGCTCGCGTCGACTATCACTTCACTCTTGAGTCTTGGATTGAAGTACGACATCACGTGATTCTTGATCAGGCTGTCTTTCAGCTTGTCGAATGCACGTTGCTGTTCGTCGGCCCACTGCCATGACTTGTCCTTCTTGGTTAACAGTCGTAGGGGAGCAGTTATCGTCGCGTAGTTTGGAATGTAACGAGACACATATTGAGCCATTCCCAGCAGAGACTTCACCTCGCCGATGCTTTCTGGCTTGTTCATGTCAGTGATCGCTTTGATCTTGGCAGGGTCTGCCTTGACTCCATTCTTGCTGAAAATCTGTCCGTAGAACTTAATCTCACTCCTTGAAAAGGAACATTTCTCCTTGTTCAGGCGTACGCCATGTTGTTTCAGCCGTTCCAGTACACCACGGAGGTTCTCATCGTGTTTCTTCTGAGTTTTTCCATAAACGATAATGTCGTCGGACATATTCTTGCATCCAGGGAGGCCTGTGAGTATTTCTTCGATTGCGTTCTGAAAGATCTCGGATGCTGCGTTAATTCCAAACATGAGGCGCTTGTATCTTCGGAGTCCGACGTGTGTGCTGAATGTGGTAATGTAGCGGCTCTCTGGGGCCAGCTCCAGTTGGTGGTATCCAGACGAAAGGTCTAACTTGCTGAAGACTGTCGCTCCGTTGAGGTCAGCAACCAGATCGTCTATGGTCGGCATCAGGTGTTTTTCTCGTTTAACAGCCTTGTTGGCCTCTCGCATGTCCACACATATTCTCACTTCACCAGAGCTCTTGGGGACTATGACAATAGGGCTCACCCAGGGTGTTGGGCCCGTTACAGTCTCGATGATGTCTAGCTCTTCTAATCGCTTGAACTCCATTTCGACATCCTTTCTGACATGGAAGGGTATCCGACGGTGTGGTTGTTGTTTGGGTGCAACGTTAGTGTCTATGTGAAGCTTGATGACTTTCCCTCGCACTTTGCCGATTCCACCGAACAGGCTCTCCAAATCTCCGTTAGTGGGGAACTGGGGACTGGTCTCGTCAGGTTTGACTTGATTGATGATCTTGAGCACACCAAGTTTCGTAGCAGTGTTAAAACCCAGGAGGTTTCCTGAAGCACCTTTGATGACGTGCAAGGTTGTCCATGTGCTGCTGGCGTTGACGAATATTTCGGCTTCGATGGTTCCCAGAACAGGTAGGGGTGTGGATGATCCGTAGGAGAAAATTCTGCGCTTGGAGGCTTCTGGTACCGTCCGTTGGTATAACTCCCTGAAGGTGCGTTCGTCTATGAGATCGACCGATGCACCGGAGTCGACCATCATTTCGATTTGCTTTCCATCGATCCTGACGTGGCAAGTTGGTTGCTTGTCACCGCCTATAGTGTATACGTATTCGTCATTTTCGGCCGTGTCTTCATGTGAGACGTGTTTTGCTGACTCAGGTGGATTTGTTCTACAAACACGAGCAAAATGGTTTAGTTTGCCACAGGAGGTGCACTTCTTGTTCCTCGCGGGGCAGGAGTCTTTGTGAGGGTATGGTCCGCCACAGTTCCTGCATTTAATATTCTCTTTTCGGGAGTTGCTGTGATTGCGTGACTCGTAGCGAGTGCGTGACTCCTGGCGAGGTTGTTGATGGCGCTGTTTCCCTTTGAGATATGTCGAGATTCCTCTCTTCTTAAACTTTACCGCGTTTACGGTTTGTTCGTGATTTTCTAACTCCTTTGCTTGTATTTCGCTTAATTCTAAGGCTCTACCAGCTTTCATGAGGCCGGCTAAGTCGAGGTCTTCTCGCAGAGCTTTGCGCCGCAGGGAATTCGATTTACAGTTCAAGATAATCTGTTCTTTGATTTCTTTGTCTGGATTTGTGAAATCGCAGGTCTTCGCTAGGCTTCTCAAGCGTGTGTGAAAACAGTCAAGGTTTTCTCCGTCTTTTTGCTTGGCTTGCCGGAAATTGTACACTTCGTACGTTACGTTGACTTGCGGAGAGAAGTGAGCAGTTAGTTTCTCGACGGCCTTTTTGTAATCTTTGTCTCCACCGACGTCTTGAAGCGTGTCGAAGATCTCGTCGACTTCTGGACCGCCGTAATGCAGCAAAAGGGCTCTCTTCTGCGTATCATCGGAGATTCCCATTCCAATAGTTAGTCTCTCGAATCTTCCTAACCATTTCTTCCATCTTGGGCCTGCATTTCCATCGAGGTGAACTTCAAACGGTGGAAAGTTTGGTAGAGAAATGGCCATGATGTTTACGCGGGAAAATGCTTCGGAGATCGCTTTGGATTTTTCTGTGAAAATCACTTCGGAAATCCCGTTAAATCCTTTTGGTTTTGTTGTGTGTGTGTTCTATGAATAATCCTCGTCGCCAGATGTGGTGTTTACGGTTTAATAACCACTGAGACGTTCGGTAGAAACACAACGATATTTAATCAACCTGTGAGACGAAACCCGACTACAGAATAGCTTCTCTTCATAAGGACCGCGTGTGCATTCCGAACATTATGATTGGCAGCTGTCAGAAACACTACACATATCTCGATGAACGCACGCGAACGTATGAACCAATTGTTAATTGACCAGAATCATTCACCAAAAACTACAAGTATACTGTACCTTGCTGTGGATTTGAGTTTTGCTGATCATCAATATCTTGTCCACCTTGTTGTTCCAAGTCTCCAAACTCTGCTCTGGCTACTACTCTACCTTTATTCTGTATTAGCTTAAGGAAACAATGTCCTTGTCCTTCACCTGTAAAAGTTAGTCATAAAAAAATCCTTGTCCTTCACCTGTAAAAGTTAGTCATAAAAAAATCAAATTTCACCTCCCTTGCCAACTAGATGATAAAAGTCTACATCAAGTCACACTGTTGAGGGGCTGTGAGCAAGAACAGCCTATATTCTAAAAGTACTCTATCCTAAATTTAAGGTATTTTTCCTTTATTGGATCTAACCTTCACAAAGCACTAAGCCAAGCTGTTGGTTGGCAAATGTCAGCTGATAAGAAAGAGGAAGACTAAAAGCTTTGCAGCAAAGACAATTTAAAGACACCTGTTCATTTTGAGTAAAACCTGTCACTCTTTATTGTTTCTTGCATGTGCATGAGCTGCTCAATCTACACAATTGCCATTCAGCACACCTTTTGAAATTGTATTCCTTATAAAGAGAACTTAGGGAAAAACTTTGTGCATTTTCCTACTTGGTTTCAGTAAAGCTCTGCAGCCTCCATTCTCTTCTCTCACATAAAGTGTATCATCATCAACATCTATAGAAAGAATGAATGAACCCTTAACCATTAAACCCCTAAGAGTGAATCACATCTAATTTCTCCTAACAATATCACCGCTGGATCACTAATAATTAGTAGTAGTAGTAATTAATATTATTAAGGTCATGATAATAAAGAAAACAATTACCAACTTAAGAAGCTCTAACTTGATTTTAAAACAAATTCTCCATGTCACAATGTCTAGAGAATAGTATGGAGAATATGCATACTGATGTGAGGGTGTAAAGGGTGAAGGGAAACTTCTTACTGTGCATTTTTCATGACAAACAATTTTGACCCATCAAAATACACTGCAAGCAAGAAAGAGCCATTCTTCTTTCAAATCCATCACAATTGGCACAGTTACAATGATTAGTCCTTTACAAAGATATATTGCTATTATTATAGCTAGAATAGACAGGCATTTTACTAATCCCCTCTCATTAGTCCCTCTACAAGAGCGACAAAAAAGTTAGCCTGGGAATTATGCAAAATAGAGAACATACCTTGTCCATGCATTGGAGGATTATCATTCTCATCCAAAATCAATACAGCTTCTGCAATTTTCTTATTTGCGAAGCAGCTTGCATAATAGACTCCTATGCCAAATATGAAAGAAAGGGAAAATAAAAATCACATTTTGAGGGTCAATCTCTACCTCTCATTTAAAGAATAATTAGCAAAATATTTTAGAGTTCCTCTCATAAAGTAGAAAATTTCCAAAAAATGTGAAAGGTTGAAAAATAATGATAAATGATGACAGAAATAATGAGGTTGTTAATTAACACACCAAAAAGGAAAGCACAATCAAAGCAGATGTAGCTCTGTTGTTTTAATGCCTCTTGTACCTGCACAGTCAGTTTAGTTTGTGTTTTTACCTGTTCATACCCTTGTTATAATAATCAGGGATTATCTTGCACAAATTAACATATGAATATGATACATTACAACTGTTTAGCCCTTTACACCCTGACATCAGTATCCATATTCTCCATACTCTTATATACATTTCATTTTGTTCTAGCAAGGAGTATTTTTTAAACAATCAAAGCTTTCTTCCCTTAGTGATCATCTTCTTTTATTCTCATGATCTCAATAAATAATTCAGCAGTATAACTGTAAGGAGAATTTAGATGCTGGTTGCTCTTGGGGTTTAAAGGGTTGAAATAACTATAGGAATTCTAGCGAGCTCATTGGTTAAGAGCCATTGTCAATAAGGTTATAGACCATGAAACATGAAAATGACATAACAAGTACCAGAATGCTCACCAATCCCCACTAGGTCAGAGAAAAAAAAACATTTGATATCAATCACAAGTTGTAACCTTGGGTAAGCTGTCAGATTTGTCAAAAATAAACCAATTACATCTTTATGTCAATGGCACTTGATTGATGGTGTATTTTTTATTCTTCAGTCGACCATATCACGCATGCATAATTTTAAGCAGGCATAATTATAGTTTCAATGTTTTACATTGCAAAAAAAAAAGAATTTTCCCAGCAGTTTTGAACACTGTTAATGTCATTTCTACAATCAATAAGGTAATGGATGATGGAAAAATGTGGTCAATTTGCTAAATTGACAGCAGACTAAACACCTTAAAAATCCAGAGGAAAATGTCTCCAACATAGCAATAAAACATTGTGCTTGTACCATATCTACATTACTTCATCCATGCTGATAAATGAAACATTCCAAGTACTACACCTTTTTCCCCAGACCTTGATGCAAAGCTCATCATTACATTAACAGGGCTTTTTGCTTTACTTGGACCCAGAACTACAACATAAAGGAGTTTAATAATTATGTAAAAGAACAAGCAATTTAGAACAGAATCTCAATGATATACTTTGAAAGGGTTACTTTACACTCTTTTTTCATTTGGTTTCATCTTTTCACCTTTCCTATGATTAACAGATGGAAAAAATCCAAATTGTGAATGTGACACAATCCGAAAAAAAAAACCGAATCATTGCCTGACTAAGGTAGTCCTTGATCTTTAACTACAAAAAGAAATAGCTACAATGATAAACAATTCCACCCTGCTAGTCAAATTACTTGTAAGGGGAATCACTACAACATTTGGATCCCAGGTAACAAGTGTCTTAAGTTTGCAGAATGATGTTTTGCAGGTAACATAAACCTTAGTCTACTTTTGGGTATTTACCCTGTTCTCCTTCTCCTTGCCCTGAATTCCCTGTTGGAGGTTCTCCTCCTGGCGTTTCTCCTCCTCCTTGCCCTGAATTCCCTGTTGTACCTACAATGATAAAAAATTCCACCCTACCAGTCAAATTACTTGTAAGAGGAATCACTACAACATTTGGATCCCAGGTAACAAGTGTCTTAAGTTTGCAGAATGATGTTTTGCAGGTAACATAAACCTTAGTCTACTTTTGGGTATTTACCCTGTTCTCCTTCTCCTTGCCCTGAATTCCCTGTTGGAGGTTCTCCTCCTGGCGTTTCTCCTCCTCCTTGCCCTGAATTACCTGTTGTACCTACAATGTTAAAAAATTCCACCCTACCAGTCAAATTACTTGTAGGAGGAATCACTACAACATTTGGATCCCAGGTAACAAGTGTCTTAAGTTTGCAGAATGATGTTTTGCAGGTAACATAAACCTTAGTCTACTTTTGGGTATTTACCCTGTTCTCCTTCTCCTTGCCCTGAATTCCCTGTTGGAGGTTCTCCTCCTGGCGTTTCTCCTCCTCCTTGCCCTGAATTCCCTGTTGTACCTACAATGATAAAAAATTCCACCCTACCAGTCAAATTACTTGTAAGAGGAATCACTACAACATTTGGATCCCAGGTAACAAGTGTCTTAAGTTTGCAGAATGATGTTTTGCAGGTAACATAAACCTTAGTCTACTTTTGGGTATTTACCCTGTTCTCCTTCTCCTTGCCCTGAATTCCCTGTTGGAGGTTCTCCTCCTGGCGTTTCTCCTCCTCCTTGCCCTGAATTCCCTGTTGTACCTACAATGATAAAAAATTCCACCCTACCAGTCAAATTACTTGTAAGAGGAATCACTACAACATTTGGATCCCAGGTAACAAGTGTCTTAAGTTTGCAGAATGATGTTTTGCAGGTAACATAAACCTTAGTCTACTTTTGGGTATTTACCCTGTTCTCCTTCTCCTTGCCCTGAATTCCCTGTTGGAGGTTCTCCTCCTGGCGTTTCTCCTCCTCCTTGCCCTGAATTCCCTGTTGTATCTACAATGATAAAAAATTCCACCCTACCAGTCAAATTACTTGTAAGAGGAATCACTACAACATTTGGATCCCAGGTAACAAGTGTCTTAAGTTTGCAGAATGATGTTTTGCAGGTAACATAAACCTTAGTCTACTTTTGGGTATTTACCCTGTTCTCCTTCTCCTTCTCCTTGCCCTGAATTCCCTGTTGGAGGTTCTCCTCCTGGCGTTTCTCCTCCTCCTTGCCCTGAATTACCTGTTGTACCTACAATGTTAAAAAATTCCACCCTACCAGTCAAATTACTTGTAGGAGGAATCACTACAACATTTGGATCCCAGGTAACAAGTGTCTTAAGTTTGCAGAATGATGTTTTGCAGGTAACATAAACCTTAGTCTACTTTTGGGTATTTACCCTGTTCTCCTTCTCCTTGCCCTGAATTCCCTGTTGGAGGTTCTCCTCCTGGCGTTTCTCCTCCTCCTTGCCCTGAATTCCCTGTTGTACCTACAATGATAAAAAATTCCACCCTACCAGTCAAATTACTTGTAAGAGGAATCACTACAACATTTGGATCCCAGGTAACAAGTGTCTTAAGTTTGCAGAATGATGTTTTGCAGGTAACATAAACCTTAGTCTACTTTTGGGTATTTACCCTGTTCTCCTCCTCCTTGCCCTAATTCCCCAGTCTGCTGTTCTCCTTCTCCTTGCCCTTGTTGGTAGTTTTAGGAGAAGAAAAATTGAATCTCTGGTATTCTCAAATAACAGAATGATTTACAAGTGTTCAGGAAACCTGACCAAAACCTTCCTTTCTCCTATAGGAGGAAGGAAGGTTTTTTGTCAACTGAATGCCTTGGACAGGCTAACCCAGTCAGCACTGATAACAAAACAGAGCCAATGTTGAATGTGGAAGATATGTCCATGCAGTACTCTCTAGAGTGGGTGGGCTGAATCCCCAGTGGAGAGGTCAGAGCTCAAGTTCTGAGTAGGGTCACTGTATTGTGTTTGTAAGGCAACAAAATTTAGCCCAATATTATATCTCTATCTAGCTCAAGAAGTACCAAGTTGGAAAATATATTTTCACATAAACCTGATAAAATTCATATAGAATAACCATGAAGGATCAAACTCAAAAGGAATAGGTCAGGGGCAACCAATTTAGATTTCCATAGATGCAATGAAGGCTATTTTTAGTTTTGATTTGCGTGACGTTCAATACCCTTTTGTTTTGTTTTGTGTGACATACCCTTGAATTGTTGGCATTAGGTTTCCTTCAGCCACAAGACATGTATTAGTCACAAGCATAGCCAGATCGAAGGATTGTCGAATTACTAGAATAATAGAACGGGGAAAGAGGTATGTCATCTTGTTTATTTTTTTATTCATAAACCGAAACGTGAATAATCAAAGGTAATTTTGCTCCACTTAAGATATTTGTATTGTGTTGATTTATCTATATACACGCCCCGCATGCTTGAATTTAGGACATTTCAATAAGAGTTTATTGTATGGTAATAGCCTATTTTAATTTATTGTATTTCAGTTTTTACGAGCTTTCCAGTGATTAACAAACCAGTTGAGATTGATAAACGCTTGGAGGTTTCGTTAATAGAAGACATTTCCCCGACGCGGCGTTACTCAAGTTTAATTTGATTTTTGTCAGCTTCCGCCTCATTACAATAGGTAATAACACTTAAGTTAACTGTATTTTTACAGAAAACAAGTTAAGTTAGGCACTGCAATGTTTGTGATTGGTAAAATCCTGGAAAAGTTCAAGCATAAGCTGAAAGGGAAAATTCTCACGTGTAGGTAAAACAATCAGCTAGTGCCGGTAACGTTCAAGACTTAACAGAATTGACCTACAAAACATTTACACGTACGCTTAACAAACAAAACGTTACCAACCTGAACATACCCGTGACCAATTAATCTGTGAAAACAGTACATGAGAAATCTGCATGTTGTTGTCACGGGTAATGATACCAAAGGCTTTTGCCTCGCCGTCTTTGCCTGTGATGACAGTTGGAGCTCCAAGGCTTTCTTGATTCAGGCTAACGTTTTCTGTAACTAGATATGATCTTTTTTTAAATGACTCTTCATTTCCCTTAAAAAAGTGACAGTATAATTTGGAATTTCCTTCGTTTTCCTCATCGCATATGGCAAATGGACGGTAAGTTAGTAAACCTGAAGTACGTCTTCGAATAAAGCTAAATTTGTCTGGGTCAACAGCTACAACTGTGAGGCCATGTGATATGAAGTTTGCACCGTTGCCTATACTACTTAGCTCCCTCCGTCTTTTGTCTCTTTTCTTTGACTTCTTGAAACACAAAGAGTAGCCACTTATATCTTTGGATGAAATAACCTCTCTGCTTGTGATCAGATGTATTTTTTTATCACAATCTTTGTAGAAGTCCTTAACGAGGCTTCCAGTACCAACAAAGCTTCTACCTTGCCCATGTGGATTATTTTTCCAGATCGCACAAATAGCTAGTAAGCACTTATTCTCTTTTCTTCTCCTGTCTTCCCTCGTTGGATGTGTCGGCGGCGTTAGACGCAAAGGGTTAGAGGGTCCACTTGAATCTACCATGTTCTTCCTCACATGTTCCCTTACCACATCACTAGGATACACATACTATCACAGCGGTATATACGCCATAGCTGAATGCCATATAGACGACAAAATGGCTGACTTACAATATGTCCTGGAACAACTTCAGAATACCCCGCAACTCATTTACATGTCATTGAATAAGAATAGCGTCTATTGTGTTATGCCTCGATCTTCAAAGCCTCCCGACACATGTAAGTGAGGCAGAAATGAGTTGCGGGGTATTCTGAAGTTTAGCCTATGTCCTAGTTAGCTTTATTCTTCCACGTTAACCCACATCTACCCTAAGTTAGCTATGTTCTACCACGTTAACCCAACCATCACAGCATACGACCCACCATGAACCGCCGTAACCGGAAGTCCACCAGTCCTCGTTCCAGAGTAACCAGCGGTCAAAAACAAGGGGATGTCAGCTCCTGGTATGCATGTACAGGCTTGTAGCGTTGCAGTTGTGTCTTCCGTTGTAGTTATGTCCTCACACCTAATAACCAATAGAATGCGGTTTTATTTCTTCCAATCAAAGTGCGTTGTGAACGTGTCTTCTGCGTGTCACTTCCCAACTAGGGGAGGGATGCAATGCAAAATTGTGAGACTATCGTTAAGTTTTCCGCGCTCGAAGTTTGAGAATTTCATGGGCTATTCTTGTTTCATGGGCTTATCCTTGATGCCTTTTGGGACGCTTCGGATTGTTGAAAGATTAATAGGTAAAATTTCCGCACAACCCCATACTACATTATGCATTCAGTTCTTGGATAGAGAAAACAATGACAAAAACAATACATTGCCATTAGGAAAACAGACTTGTTTTACAATAGTATGGGGCTATGCGGAAACTTTACCGACGAGAATTTGACGTTGCCTCGTAGCTTCCCTTATTGGTTTGGAGTGCGCTGGTGATCGAAGTTGTGCTTTTTTGTCGGAACTAGTAAAGGAAGGTAAGGTTTCGGTTGCATTTTATGCTAGTATTTTGTT